TAACCTGTAATTATTATTTATGTGCATGGTGCTTACCAAATTACAGCGCTCTCCAAGGCTCTGTGTGATGAGCAAATTAATTCTGCAGCGGAAGAGCTTGACCAGAAAGAGATGTTTGTGTCTGAATTTCACTCATAAACATTGATGTATGAAATGAAATTCGGGTTTAATTGGCCCTCCCTCCTGCTGCAAAGCACATTATGTTTTCATTCTGCCTTAGCTCAGCTGGCGAGAGGGAGCATCACGGAAAACTTGGAGGAGTTTCTCCAGCCCTGCTGGTACTTGTGTGGGAGACCCACGTGGGGTGCTGCTCACCTCCCTGAAATGAGATGGGCTTGATACCGTCACGGAGAGCCCAAACCCACCTCCGTGCTGTGGGCAGGTGGATTTGGGGCAGGGAGGAGACAAGCCACCAGGTGACACTGGGATGCCGAGCCCACTGCAGCCCAAGGATGCTCCCATGGAAAGTGGGGAGAGGCCATGCTGGGGTTGTCTTTTCTGAAGACATGGACTTTTCCAAAAATCATGGCTTTTCCAACATGCCCCAAAAGTCCTTGTGAGAGAAACTGAAGTAATTTTAATCAAACAAGGTTGAGAATATACACACCTTTCCAGCTACGGAAAGCAAAGTCATCTCAGTCAGAGCAGACTGCTGAGAGAAAACCATGATGTGAACACAGGTGCTTCTGTTTGGGTTTCTTTCTTTGGTTTTTCAATTTCCATCTTCTTTTTGACCCCGCTTTAGAAAAATCCCAATGGAACATGTAGCGCATCGCCTTTTTTTGGTAACATCACTTGTATGTACAATGAAGAAAGCTCCCTGGGGCATTGCCCCTTGGCCGTAGCTGGCAGATCTTTACTATCTCCTGCCAAAGCACCCTGCAGTCAGACTGACCCATGGTGGGAACACATAAATCTACTCCTTGCAGGGCATCAGCCCCTTCCAAAAGCGCCTGTAAAATCAGGAGCTTCCAGTTTTCCCATTGCATAACTCTGGGGGTCTTTTTCTTACCCATATATTGGATAAAGGGCAGTTTCTGGGACTGGTGGTGAGGACTGAACTTGTGCAAGGACCAGAACCTGACCTATGCACAGGGCATGGTCCTCGCTGTGGTTACTCCATTGTACTGGGAGGTGTCGCTGCTCCCAGCACGTTACTGGAGGCAATGGGGTATTTCTGGTTTTGGCTGCACTGTAGACATGCAGGTAGGAAATCTCAGTGGGAGGGAAATGGGAGAAGTCTTCTTCAAACCATTGAAATTCTTGAATGTTTTAAAAAAAGAACCTGAAAGTTTTAGTCTTTTTAGCGTGTTGGGTTTTTTTTTTATCATTTTAGCGTTTTTAAAGTAAAAAAGAAATATTTTATTCCTTTCTGGTGGTGTATCCTGAGGAAATCACAGAGTACCACAATTAGAAGATGTTTAAACCTCCCCAGGGTGGGAAATACTTATGCCTGTTCTTTGTAGTGGGGAAACCGAGGCTTGGAAATACCAGACCCTGCATGGTCCCAGTGGCAAAATCCCCGGGATGGAGGGAGCAGACTTGGCCTGTAACCCCCCTGGCATCCTCCCCCTGCCCGAGCATCCCCAGACCTCACATGGGGTGGGGAAAACACGGCTCTGAGGAGGTCGAGGCAAAACCTTCCACCTTGCATGGACCCCTCTGCTCAGCTGCTTTTGGTGACCACATGAAACAGGGCATTGGGGGTGGATCAGGGATGCCGTATGGGATGCAGTCTGTGGTCCCCAGCACGGGCAGGGAGGCTGCTGCTCCTGCAAGGCACTTAACCCCAGCACGGGGATGGGTTGGCCCCATCCGCCGCATGAGAGCGAGGAGCAGCTTTGGCACTGAGCCTGTACAGGTAAAAGCCAGGCAAGGCAGAGGGGAGCAAAGCCACAGCATGTCCCTGTGGTAGCTGCCTTTAGGAAGCTGAACCACTGCTTTGCTGCAGCTCTCCCTCATCTTTCCACCCCCAAACAGGAACACGGAGGTCCAGGGGCTTTGCAAAGACCTGCAGACCCATCTGGGCTGGGCTGGACCACAGGATTAACTAAACCTCGTGCCCTCCTTCAGACCAAGCCACGCTGTGTGGCGGTTTCACGCTGTGTGGCTGTTTAGAGCCCCTCAGACCCATCCCCATCCCTTGCATGGTTCCCTCCCCTATCCCATCCCATTCTCTGCTGCACATCCTTGGTGTCAAGATGAGAAATGACCCGGTCAGACCAAGCAGAAGCTGTGGGACCTCCTGGGGACCTGGCAAGAGGCAGGGGCAGGGCTCAAATAACCCCAGTGGTACAAAAACACAGCCACGTAAAGCAACATCTGTGATCAGCCCAGGGCTCTCCATCCATCCCCGATGAACCCAGAGGGTTTTGGTCCCCCCTGAGCATCCACTTACTACAAAGCTGACCCAGCTTCCCAAAGATTAACCCCATACGCTGTCCCAGCCATGTCTTGGTGTCACCTCAAAGCAGTGACAAACTCGAGAGAGACAGCGATGGGACATGGGGCATCATGCCCAGGATGGAGGCAGGCAAGGAGACTGCTGCAGCATCTCTGGGCTCCTTCTGCCACCCCAGCAGGTCACACTGCTGGCAGGGAGATGACAAAGCAGCATCTCAGCTGTCCTGTCCTACATGTCTGCCCCAGCAAGTGGGACAGGAGCTCCTGCAGGGTTCCCCATAGCTGCAGCGAGCTTGTGCATCCTCTGCAAGACTGGTGGGTGCAGGCGGGACCCGGCTCCTGTGCTGGGCCGTGTCGGGGGTCCCACGCAGCAGGGACACCGGCTCCCCCATCCCGTATGGCAGCTCGCTCCCGGCTCAGACGGCCGTGGACTGCTTGATGCTGTGGAAGCTGACGCGGGTCGGGGAGGTGGGGATGGACATGGCCCGAGCCACGCGGGCGCGGATGGAGTGCTTGTCCTGCCATCGGTGCCACCGCTTCCGCACGGCCGATCGGACCTGGGGTGCGACACAGAGGAGGGGGCATTCAGAGGAGGGGACATTCTGTAACCATGTGGCTGTGCAAATCTATTCAGAGGCACCAGCCACCTCATCCCCATGCTACCAAAACCCTGCTCAGCTCCCCAGGGGCAGGGAGGGTCCCGGGAGCCCTGTAACCTCCCAGGGCACCCAGCATTCCTGGATGCGATGCCAGTGAAATGCAGCCCTTGCAGCTGCGAGGAGAGATGAAGCCAACTGATGGTGCCTCTGAGCACAAAACGGAAACAAGAGGGAGAAATAAATCTGAGCAAGGGGGCTCTGTGGGAGAGGCAGCATCTCACACGCTGCATCGGATGCTGCCAGCACCCTCCAAGCTCTGTGCAGGGGCAAAGCCTTGGGTTGTGCTTGTGTCCGCTTGCAAAGCAGGGTGCAGATCCCCACCAAGCACGCCCTGTGCTCACCTCGCTGTTCAAGAAGCAGTAGAAGACAGAGACGAAGAAGCCCTGCAAGAAGAAAAGCAGCAGAGTCACCATGGAGCTATGGCCAGCAGGGACCCCCAGGCTCAGGAGCTTTGGGAGCAGGACGAGGCATCAGCCACAGGGTGCCTCCTCCTCATCCCTTGGGGGGCAGACTGGGATGGAAGCTGGTGCTGGACCATACCTGGAAGGACTCCAGAAAGGAGTTGAAGTAGATGAAGACGATCCTGGAGATCTCATCCTCCCCCGGGTTGACCAAGAAAAGCCCCCCGGGTTGACGAAGAACAGCATGTAGGTGATTCCCAGCAAGGGCAGCAGCACCAGCGTGGCCTTGACTGCTTTTCTGGAGAGAAAACAGAGACCTGAGCTGTTGCAGTGCAGCCCTGGGCATTGGGAGTCTCCCCATCCCATTCCCAACACCAGCGTGGCAGGGACTGGTTTGCCTGGGTCTGGGCAAACTGGTGACCAAAAGAGGATGGAGCAGGGCGGAGATGTTTCCCCATGTGATCCCCAAGAGACTGGGCTGGTTTGAGCACTGGGCACCTCCTGTGGTTTCTCCATCCAGAAAAGGACGGTGGAGAGCGGAGGCCTGACCTTGAGCTGGCGTGAAATGATTGCTTGGCTGATCTTGGGCTCGATTAAAAAGGAATTAAGGAAGGTAAAATAATTCACACCCTTCAACATGGGTTTATGAAAAGCTTATCTCAGCTAATTAATTTGATATCTTTTCTTGATGGGATTACAAGTGTGGTTTGCGGAAAGTAATAGTGCTGATACAAGAGGAAGGATCAGGGCTTGGCACTTGATTCATTTGGATTCGGGGACGAGAACAATGCCAAGTCAACAAATTTTGTTTTAAAATCCTGTTAATGGACAGGTTTCTGCATTAGCTGAACGCAGGAAAAAAAAAATCATCACTGGCAGGGATGGGGCCTGGGAACTGCGCTGCATCGCTGACCTGGAGGAGAGCCACGGCCACCGCCACAAACTGGCACGGAGGAGCTGGCAGTAACTGAGGACAGGAGTATCTCCAGGCTGGCAAACCATGGGACACCCCTTTTACCAAAAGCCATTGTCTAAAGTGAGCAGGAGCTCTCCAGGGCTGTCCCCTGCCTGGTTTAGGCACAGTTTATAACCCAGCAAACTCTCCATGTTTTCCGGTCCCACAAAATGTTTCTGGGAAATGAAAATGTTCTGCTCAAAGGTCAAAAACTCGCCCTTGCCGAAATCAGGCAGATACTGGAAAACCAGAAGTCTCTCAGAATTGCTGACTGAGGCCAATGAGCCCATTTCAATAACCTTAATCTTTGCTCACCCCAGGCTGAATCATTCATCCCAGCTCAATACTCTGTGATGAGGAAAGCTGGCATTTCCCAGTGATAGCATCTGATTTTTCCATCCTCAGCTGAAAAAGCCATCCTCCATACCAAACCTGCCTCTCTTGACGCAGCAGACACTGAGATTCCCCAAATCCTGCCCAGAAAATGACCCAGAGAGAAGCCCTGGTGAAGACCAAAGGCACTTCAGGGATCTGCTCTGACCGTGTACCTGCAAAATACTCTGCAGCAAGGAAGGGTTAAATGTCCCTTCTGTGTGCTGTGAGTGCTGCCTTATCCTCGTGGTTTCCTGAGGCGTTTGGGGTGGCATCGATTCATTGCTCCTTTGCTTTGCTGCCAAGTGGCAACTTCATTCTCGCCTCCAGGTGCTAAGTTTTGCACCTCCAAGCCCAGCTGATGAGGTCCCATCAGAAAAGGCTTTTGCCAAGAGACCCAGATCCGACCGTCCACGTTCCCCATCACAGACCTCTCACAGGCCAGGATTTTGTACCAATCCCAGGTGCTATCACCATGTGCCTCCAAAAAGCATCTGAGGTGCTCTTAGATGTCTCTCCATGCTCGCATCCCCTTGTTTTGTGGCTGATGGGGCTGCTCCTGTCTCCTCGTCATCACACTACTGCAGTTTCTGTTTTTAGTAGCATCTCTCTGCTCTTACCTGTACTGAATTGTCTCCGATGTGGTCGAAGCTCGGAGCTTTGTCATGAGGATTCGGACAATGTTGAACAGAAAGATGAAGTTGATCTGGAAGGAAAAGGGCACCTGGTCAGTGTCTGCTCCCCCAATGTTTCCTCCCATTTCTGCAGCAATGGACGGCACCAGGGGAAATGGGAACGTTTCCTCTCGACCTGATCTACTGCCTTCTGTGCACTGGGATGGGACATCTGCATTTGTAATTTTTTTAAGCACTTTAGCAATAAGATTTAGGAGTTTTGGGGGAGAAGCAGGGCACGCCAGGACATGGGTGAGGTGTTAGAGAAAGGAGGAAAGGTGGGGAGGAGGAATATAAAGCAGCTGAAGGGATTTTGGGAGAGTGGCTGCCATCACAGCAAGGAGCTGCTTGGCCGCTCTCCCAGCCGCCGAACTGTTAACAAGGGCACAGGAAGGTGGCCCTGGGAGCTGAGCACAATTGACACAAATTAGAAGTGGCCTGGCTACCTGACGGGCTGGGAAATGAAAAGCAAGCTCAATTATCCAGCAAGGCCGGGGGGTGCTGGTGATCAGTGCTCCCTCGGGTTTTCTCTGAGTTGGGCAAGGAGGGAGGAAAAGCTGTGGGACCCTGTGCATGGCTTTCCACCTGCAAACACAGGTCGGATCCTTGGCACTGCTGCTTGTGACTCTCTGTGTCCTTTCCCAAAAGGGCAAAGCCTCAAACTATGCTCCGTGTGACCCCCTGGTTCAAGCATCATGGCCCAGCCAAGGGCTAGGAGCAATGTGATGCGGATCAGGGAGCTGAGGTCCCCAGGCTGCTGCTGCTGCTTGGCAAAGCACCCAAATTGTGCCAGGACAGGGATGGAGGGACTCACTGAAGCACATGGGAGCATCTCTATCAAAGCAAGGCCTCCAGGCTCCCTTTTTAGCCCATCCCAAGCCAGCAGGATCCACGCACGCTACTTCTCACTGGGGTTAGGTGCCCAAATTTGCTCAGGGTGCATTTTGGGTGAGGGAAGCCAGGCTTGCAGTGGGGTGATGCCGAAGGAGGGGGTGATGCTCTGTTCAGGAACAGCCTCACCCCAAGTGCAGATGGGAAGGACCCTGTATTCAGCAAGCAACTAAGCAAAGCAAGGTCGCTTTGCTCTTACCAGAAGCACCAGGATCATGGGGCCTTGGTAAATGTAGTCAGTATAAACTCCTGCTCGCTTCCCAAACCAGCACCTGCAAGGCAAGGACAAGCAGTGTTGGGGACAAACCTACAGTGTGAGTGACCTGGACTGACTTCTGTCCTTACACAACCTCTGTAAGTCACTGTCCACAGGGTGAAATCACTACAACTTAAACTGCTGGGCCCACTGTGGAATAGCTTCCCTGGAAACCCGGCGTGTGCATGGGGGCTTGTGGGGGTGTTTATGGGCCCCATATGGGTGTGGGAACTGGTTTTGTTAAATAGGTGCTGTGCCTGCATGTGTAGCACAGGGCTGCTGAAGTCGGGGGGGCAAAACTAGCACTGAAAAAACCAAACAAGCTGCCATTCATCTAAACAGACTTCTTTTTAACTTCCCGGGTCTGCATGATGAACTCTCAGGTGCCTGTTAAGTCCTCCATTAGCAAGTCTCTGTGAAAATGGCTCAGGTGGTGGTGGTTTAGATCTCTGCTGATTAAATCTCAGCTCCATTTAGCAAACACAATGTAGGAGCTCTGGCTTAATCTTGCCTTTTCCTCCTTAAAAATCTCATTTGCCATTTGAAGGGAAAAATGCAGCAGCAGGCAGCTGCAGGCTGAGAGTGCCAGAAGGTGGGATAAAAGAAAGACAGGAAGAATATTATCCTTTTTCCCCTCCCATCCTTTCCATGTACCCTGCCTTGTGTCAGCCCTTCCTGTGGATCCATACAACTGATTTCTGGGGAGCTGGGATAAAAAGGAGAATGGGGAATGAGAACAACCAGGCTCACTTCTCGTTGTCGTAGTACAGCTTCCCGATGGCCCAGGCGACGATGATGGGAAAGGGGATACCTGCAGGTGAACACACAGAGGGGTCTCAGGGGTGCGATGCTGCCACCAAATTATGCTGCAACAGCGATTTTCTCACACTGTGTGAGCCGATATGGGCATGCAAAACCCATCCTGCAGCCTTTCTGCAGCTCTTGGGGTGCAGGAAGAGCTGGAGCAGAGGATGGGGGTGGGCATCACCCATCACTGAAACCCCAGGGGGTGGACTCCTGGTGCTTACACCAGCCGATGCAGATGAACATCCACTTCCGTGGGGTAGGGGAGCACGATGGCCGTGTGCAGGTAGCAGCCCTCGCCGAACATCCAGAAGAAGTTGGTGACATGGAAGTAATTGTAGGCGGCAGTGACCAAGCGGCACCAGACCTGCCAAGGGCGTTAGGAGGAGACATGGAGGGTGCATGGAGCAGAGCTACTCAGAGAGAGCACCTTCCACCCAGGCCATGTCCAAAAATAGGCCATGGCTGGTTCTTCAGTGTGTCTCTGCAATATTACCTCTGTGATACAGTGTGGAAATCAACACACAGAGTGACCCAGACCCCAGCAGAGCAATTGAACCCAGGTTTCTCATAAGCCTGGCTCGATCATCAACCACCAGGCAGCCCTATTTGGCCTCATGTCTAGGATCCCCACACTCCTCACACACTCCCCAGCAAAGCTGCACCTACCACGTTGCTCTCGTGCACCTCGGGGTTCATCGTGAGCTGCACCACGAACCAGGTGGCGTTGCGCAGGATGAAGGCTGTGATCAGGTTCCAGTGGATGATGTTCCTCAGGCACCGGATGCTCCTAAAAGAAGAGGGGACAAGGGAGCATCAGAGCATGGTGGGTGTCTGGGGACTGGCCACATGTGGGCTGGGGGACAGGGCTGTTTGTGGAGCTGAATGGCTTTGCTGGGACCCCAAGAGTGAGCTGCTGAGGACGTGCCCTGCATGATGCGGGCAGGACCAAGGCCAGGAGGTGGAAGGCCCCAAGGAATTCCCTCTGCCTCCATAACCCATTGCTTTTAAAAAGCAGCAGGAGGAAAATAACCCTGGCACAGGCATGATCCCTCCAGACTGGAGAGCAATGGCCATGAGGGAGGATTTGGCAAAACACAGGGGGCTGGGTCCTTTCTGGGACCCCCATGGGCCATGGAGTGACCTCCCTGGGCACATCCCCCCCCACAGGAGCACAGCAATGGGTCAGGTCGCTCACCGCAGGCGCATGAAGAGGACGAAGGCCACGAGGAGGGCCCCCAGGGAGACGCAGTGCCCCAGGTAGTTGATGATGACGGCGATGTGGTAGTGCAGCTTGCTCTTCTTCTGGTGGGGGGAGACGGGGAGGGGGTCAGCAGCAGCCGCGGGTACCACCACAAACCTACGTCCTCCACTGCATCACCCCTGAGAGCTGCTCTGCAAGTTTTGGGTCCTTTTTCCGAAAGCCCACCAGTTGGGCAGTGGGGTTCAAGGGGATAGGGCTGGTTGGATGGGGCTAACATGGTCAGAAGAGGCACCAGCCTGGCCCTGCAAAGGGATTTCACACCCTACTCGTGCCAGGGCAGCTCATGGTTGCTGCCCCTGCATCACTCCTGCTCAGCACTGGGACATCCCTAACCCATCCTGGGGAGATCCCGCTGTAATTCAGCAGAGCTCAGTGACATCTGATGTCTCAGTTTGCTCCCTGTTGCCCTGGGGCCATCAATTTAGGCAGAGGGATCAGGGAAGGTGTGAGTGATAATTAAATTAATTGATTGCTCCTGCTGTTAGGCACTCATCCAACCTGTGAATTAGCAATTAACTGAGTGAGAAAACCCATTCCTGGCAAGAGGTATCAGCATCTTAAATACCAGAGATGGTTATCAACTGCAAATGAACAGCCTGTATCTCTTCTCCTCTGCTCTAGGGCTGTTTTGACTTACTCAGGGGCTTGTAATTCTTGGTCCCCAACTTTTTATCCCTTTCAGCATCCTAAACATTTCATCACCAGTGGGGAGGGATGGGGGCTCTGGAGGAGGGCAATGGGGCTGGAGAGCATGCTCATCGGTGCCCTCACTGCAAATCCTCTTGGGTTTTGAACAGGGAAGGAAACAGGCGTGGCTGATTTTTGTCAGGAAATGAAAACGCAAATCAAGAACGGGTCATATCTACCGCACACAACCTTTTTTCTGGGGTGCTGCTGCATGAGCAGCCGACAGCTCCCTCGGGCCATTCGTGACCTGGATGCTGTTGCCCTTCAAAACTCCATTCTGTCCCTCACCCTCCTGCCAAGAGCCCATCCGAGGGGCCACTGAGCTCCTACCTCTTCGCTGAGGATCTCCTGGCACTGGGAATAGTTGACTCGCGCTGCCCAGCTCCCGTTCGCGAGGCACTCCCTGTAGCCATTATCTGCAAGAGAGGAGCAAGTCAAAGGGTTAATTGAGGCCTCAGGGGCTTTGGGTCTGCACCAGCGCTGCCCCTCGTCACTGGGGTCCCCGATGCCTCCCACCACTGAGATCCAGTGCGAGCAGTGTGAGTTTGACTCTCTTTGTCCTCTCCTCTGCGTCATTTGCTCAAGCAATCAAATGCCATCCTGCTGCAACGGCAGCGTGAAGTTTTCACTTCTTTTCCTGCATCAGGAGCTTTCTTCGCCTCCCAGCAAGGATGCTGAGCTGGGAAGGAATGGCCATGACAGCCTTGGAGCAGCCTCTGATTAGCATCAGTGCTGGGGCGATGCCAGCACTGGGGCAATGTGTGCTTGTGCTATGAACAGGAGAGACCATGAGCCTTGTCAGGGCGATGGGACAGGCATGGGGATGGCTCTTGGGCAGGCACAAGTATGGATTAATGCAGAGACTCCCACAACAGCACGAGAAGCACCACAAAGCAGGAACTGTATGTGTGTGATCTTCCACTGCTGCAAAAATGTGTGGGATGGAAAAAAATGGATGTTTGCTGTGGGAAGAAAGATGTTTCTTCCATCACAGACACTTGGGTGGTCAGAAACTGAACTGTGTGCTAGGAATGGCTTTGGGCGCTTTTCAAGTGCCTTCACTTTGTCCCCTGCTCCCAGCACGTCATTGGCAGTGACAATGCAGTCACCCATGCCGGGAGGGGATCAACCACAAGGTCCCCCAGTCCTTGCTCAGCTGGGGGTTGCAGACCCTTGTGCCACCTCCAACAGCAGGGCAGGCTCACTCCTCTGCCCCTGTCCCCAGGATGGAGACATCAGCCCTCTCCCCCTTCATGGAGGCACTTCCAGGAGGACCAACTTACTTATAAAGCCCTTGCTGTGAAACCACCCTCCGAAAATTTGCGATATGAGGGCTTTTTTCTTTCTTTGGTGGACAGATCCTACAGAAAATCCCAACAAACTCTATATCCAGAGATGCATCATCATTTGTGTCCGCACAGCCCTGGATGCACATGGCTCTCTAAACTCCCTCAGCCACCACATCCCCATCAGTGCTGTGCATCTTACTCGTGGTGTTGTACCGCACACCGTAGAAATACTCAGGGCAGGGTCGAGCAACCAGCTGTCCCACCGCGCTCCGGGGCCAACACGTGCCGATCAGGTCCACTGAGGCGTTGCACTGGGGACCTGTGGGGAAGAAGGGTGCAGGGTTAGTGGAGGTGTCTGGGCAACCGTGGGCCAGCTCCAGGGTATTGAGGGGTCACACAGAATCCCAGAATATGAGGAGTTGGAAGGGACCTGGAGAGCTCCCCCAGTGCAACCCCTGCCAGAGCAGGATCACCAGAGCAGTCACACAGGAACACGGCCAGGGCTTTGGGTGTCTCCAGACAAGGAGACTCCACAACCTCTCTGGGCAGCCTGGGCCATGCTCTGGACCCTCACACTGACAAAGTTTGGCCTCATCTTCAGCTTGAACCTCCTGTGCTCCAGCTTGGGACCATTGCCCCTTGTCCTGGCATTGGCCATCCCAGAGCAGAGCCTGGCTCCTTCCTCCTGACACTGCCCTTTCCCAATGGATCCCCAGGAATGAGGGCACCCCTCAGCCTCCTCTGCTCCAAGCTCAAGAGCCCCAGCTCCCTCAGCCGCTCCTCCTTATCTGACCCAGCTTCCCACGTCAGGTTCCCGGGCTCTGGTTTTCCAGCCCTACTCCTTTTTTCAACCATGACTTTGACATCCAGGCAGCAACGAGCCAGCAATGACCTGGATTTTTCCCTTTCCCAGCAGCGATTCCAGCCTGGTGCTGGTGGGATGCTCCTCAGAGCCCCTCCAACCCCCTCATACCTCCTGCCTGCAAGATCTCCTTCCTAACCATTCCTGTTGGCCTCTTCCAGCCTTTCCCAGGAAGAAAGCTCCAAGTCTGCTGCTGCTATTTCAGATTCCAAGCAGGACTCGAGTGCTTTTCCCAGCTACACAAGTGTGCTAACGTAGGCATTAGGTAGGCCAGATTGCAGGCTTTTTTATGTATAATTTGTGTATATTTAGAACAACATGTACTGTAGCTAAATATGTTCTAGCTGCATCTCGCAGTGAGGTAGGAAGCAATATCCATATAATACAATCCATATAATACAAGCCTCGACAGGCAGCAGATGGATGGGGAGCAGACCCTGGAGGGGGCAGAGTTCGGTGCAAACCACGCCTGGGTACCAGAGATGTTTGTGCTGCTGGCACAGGGACAGACATCACCATTTCCTCAGCTAAAACACCCCAATTCGCAGCTCTCTGGGTGCGAGAACACAGCGTTTCCTCTCCACCAGGGCTCAATGGCTGTTATTTTCGCTTCTCTTTTCCTGAAACATCCTATGGATAGAGCTGGCTGACAAAAAAAGCAAAATATTGTGTTATTAATACGATGGAAGCTTTTCATGGAGGAATATTTGTATTCCTCGATTATCCTTGGTTATCCTTGGTTTCCTGAGAAGTTCTCAGAGCAAATTTTTAGCGCAGTGAAAAAAAAAAAGGATGGTTTTCTTTAAACAGCCTTGCAAGGGAGAACAACTTCCAAGCATGTGAGCAGGGGCAGCATCAGAGCACGGTGAGTGCTACCTTCTGCCTCCCAAAGCTTGTAGTGAGAAATTAATTTTAACGATG